GGCTCCGGACGCGCAGGCTCAGCGGCCATGGCTCACGGGCCCAGCCGCTCCGCGGCATGTGGGATTTTCCCGGACCGGGGCACGAACCCGTGTCCCCTGCATCGGCAGGCGGACTCCCAACCACTGCGCCACCAGGGAAGCCTGAAACTAATTCTTTTAAGACTTAACTCAGTCAAGAAACAGCAGTTCTCATTTTAAGCTCAACCACCATTGTTACTATTATTTTTTTTTTTTTGCGGTTCGCGGGCCTCCCACTGCCGCGGCCCCTCCCGCTGCGGAGCACAGGCTCCGGACGCGCAGGCTCAGCGGCCATGGCTCACGGGCCCAGCCGCTCCGCGGCATGTGGGATTTTCCCGGATTGGGGCACGAACCCGTGTCCCCTGCATCGGCAGGCGGACCTCCAACCACTGCGCCACCAGGGAAGCCCCACCATTGTTATTGATCAACAGTATGTCACAATACAAACAGCATTTTTCTTGGTAAACAGAACGGGTAATTAGATACATTCAGGGTCAATATATAGTTATCAAAATATTCCTTTATTGCTATTGATATTTCAGGAATATTATATTCCTTACATATTTAGTTGAATATTTATATTCTGTGCCTTCCAAGTAATTCCAACACAGTATTTCTTTTGAAATTATATTTTGAAATATAATGTTTATAATGTTTCTTGTAATTAATGATAAGCTTTTGGCTTCTGACTTATTTTTTTTTACTAGGCAAGTACACAAACAGATGCCCTCAAACTGCCACCTTCCCAGCCTCCAAGACTTTTGAAGAATAAAGCTTTATTGTGCAAACCCATCACACAGACCAAGGCCACTTCTTGCAAACCACATACCCAAAACAAAGAATGCCAGACAGGTGTGTTCCTTGTGCTTTCTTCATTTAATTTTTCCTAGGGGAAAGTAATGTGGGATCTGGTTACATTAATTAAGTGCCTTCTATTTTATAGGTGTTGTGTTTGGTTGCTTATATTCGCTGCCCAGTTGAGTTCTCACGATATCCCTGTGGGTTAGGTATTTTCATCAACTTAACAAGTTATGGCAAAGAGAAGGTAGTTGATAATACCATACTCTGAATGCTTCATTTAATTTCCTTATTCATGATAGTGTAGTATTATGGGTAAGCATAGACTTTGGAATTATATAAACAGGGTCTTAGTTAAGAGGAACTATTGTTTTCCAGAGCACCCTTAGGTTTGAACTTTTCCACACTCTATTTCAAATAATGTCAGCTCCTTTGGGGAGAGCTTTAGGGCTTTCTTTTCTTATGAACTGCCTCTACCCTCTTTGAGCTACTACTTTTCTGAATGATGGGCATGGTGTGAGCTTCTGATCTTCTCAACTTGCCTCTCCTAGCATGGAATCTCTGCCCTACAAGTGATCTGGGGTGAAGGTAGTTCGTACCCTAGTTTTCTTGGCCTGCTATTCCTATAGTAGGTTTTCTCTTCGTGGGTGGTAGCTGTACTCACTAGGAAATTAACCTCTTTAACCTGGAGTTTGAGGGGATAAGAAATGATGGTGGCCTGTCCCTCCTGGTGAGATACAGTAACCCTTGATGGGAGCTGAAGGAAGAGGAGCCCATTCTTTCTGGTCTCACCCATTCCAAAGTGGAGTTTCTATCATTTTTAGCTGGCTGAGGCAGGGGTGTGGAGCAGGTAGTAGATCAGAAGTCATAAATGCCTACTGTTCTTACTGTATTTAGTAGATTTTCTTGAATAAATATTTCTCCATTTGCTGTATGCCTTTAGGACAATTTCCAAAGAATTTAAATGGTTATTTTTTAGGTTTTCACCAACTTTGCTTGTTTCCCTAGAGAATTGGGTCTCTGGCATGCTGCCATCTGAAAATCCCAGAATTTTTAAAGTGGAAAGGAATCCTAGATTCTTAGATCTGGAAGGTTATCCTCTAAGCCAGTACTTCTCAAACATTAATATGCATATGAATTATTTGGGAATGTTACTAAGTGGATTCTGATTTAGTGGTGCTGAGGTTTTGCATCTTTTAAGTTCCCGGGTAATGTCAGTGCTGCTGATCCACGGATCACGTTGAACAGCAGAGCTGTAGATGACTTAGTCCTGTATTTTTATTGTATCAATAGTGACTTTATAAAAAAATCATTTTTTTAATTTTTTTTTTATTTATCTTTTTTTTTTACAGTAGGTCCTCGTTATCTGTTTTAAATATAGCAATGTGTACATGTCAATCCCAAAATAGTGACAGTTTAGCATTGTGTAGCTTGGTTATCAGACATCTCTAATCGGATAACTTTTTTTTTATGTCCACTGCACCATGGTAAAATTGATCCCATATTATTTCCCACTTCTAACCCTAGTCAAATTGTCAGCTTTTCACTTCTTTTTACTAGCATTACCTTTCTCTTACATTAATGATTTTACAGTTATCTAACATGTTTTTCTGGCCTACAGAAAAGACTCTGTAGATAGTTGTTAAGTAATTGAATGATTTCTACCTCCATCCTTCCCACTTTTTCCCTACTCATGTTTAAGTTAGTTCCCAAAGTTCTGTTTCCTTTTTTTAAAAAATATCTTAGAACCTCTGCTGGGTATACTTATTTATTTTCCTGCAGGTATCATAACCACCCTAGTTCAGGCCCTCATCTTCTTAGCTCTGTATATTGTAGTTGCCTCCCACATTGTATACTTCCTATTCCATGTGAAGATGGCAGCCAAATTAATCTTTTTAAAGCCATTTTCCTCACATTACTTTGTGCTAACCAATCTGTAGTAGTTCCCCACTGTCTAATGATTTTAAATGTGTATTATAGCCTCACAAAAATGGCCCTTCTACCTATTCAGTCTCCTCTTTAACATACACTACTTATTCATGTTAAGTTTTCTATACCTTTCTTCTAAGATAACTATTCCATTCATCCATCCAAATTATATCCTTCATTCATCTTATCCTCGTATCATTGATAATTATTGTGTTGCCCACTTTTTTTAGTGCTGTTATACTCAAGCCTTGCTATTTCTCCTTTCTGTGAATTCGTAGTATCATAGATACTTCTTTTTTTTAAATTTAATTTTATTTATTTGGTTGCATCAGGTCTTAGTTGCAGCATGCTTGTGGGATCTAGTTTCCTGACCAGGGATCAAACCTGGGCCCCCTGCATTGGGAGCACACAGTCTTATCCACTGTGCCACCAGAGAAGTCCCTCATAGATACTTCTTTTGAACTGTAAATGTCCACATGCTTTAAAAAATTTTTTTAAATTAAAATTACACTTCTTTTGAATTATAAGTCTTCATATACCTAAAAATTTTTTTAAAATTAAAATGGCGTTTCTAACCCTCTTTTTTTTTTTGTGGGGTTTTTTTTTTTTCTTCCATTAGAAGACACTCCAACTCAGCCCCAAGTTATTGTGGTGCCAGTTCCAGTACCAGTGTTCGTACCTATACCTCTTCATCTTTATACTCAGTATGCCCCAGTCCCATTTGGAATTCCAGTTCCAGTGAGTAATCATTTAGAGATTAAGGCTAATTTAGTATGCATTTTTCTCAATTAAGATTTGACAGCTCCATAAAAATACTTTTTACTTGTTGGTAAGATATACCTGACTCTGGTTGGCTGTTAATCATACTGTTATATTACTTAAATATGGAATATATAAAGGACTGCTTCTATTTGTACCCTGCCTTGTCAGAGGAGGTTATGATTTAGCTTTTTAAAAACATTTTAAACACAAAAGACCACTAACATAGAAAAAGATCAGAAACAGTGTGTGAATGTTAGAATCCTAGATTGTAGCAAGAATGAAAAGAGGAATACTGTGATTTACAGGATTCTGACTTTTCGTTAAAGAAAAATGTATTCATTTTTTATTGGAAATATATATTTTCTCGGTACTGAATTCTTAAGAGAAACACTTGTGTGAAAATATTAAGCAAGAAATATAGTCAAAAACAAAACAAAAATTCATTACTTAATTATTCTTTTAGATGAATCAGAGACACGTTAAGTATCCAGAAAAGCACTTACTGAATTTCTATTTAACGGCTGCAGTCTTATAAAAACAAACTAGCAAGACTATTTTAACCATTAGCAATAGAAATATCTTGAATTTGTTTATTAATAATTTTTATATTTAAATGATCTCACAAATAATAGTTTTGATGGTCGACCAAGAAACTCTTCAGTCTATCCTTGGTCTTTCAGATGCCTGTCCCTATGCTTATTCCATCCTCAATGGATAATGAAGATAAAGTCACTGAGAGTATTGAAGACATTAAGGAAAAACTTCCCTCACATCCTTTTGAAGCTGATCTCCTTGAGATGGCAGAAATGATTGCAGAAGATGAAGAGAAGGAGAAGACTCTATCTCAGGGAGGTTGGTATAATTTTAAAGTAAAAAAAGAAAAACACACCTATAAATTTTTAGGTAGCTCATGTAATTTTAAGTATTAGGCAGTCAAGGAGTTTCTAAAAGCTTTATTTGTTTTTAAATATGAAGTCTATGGGCTTGTTAAACTTGTTGATAACCCTGGAGCTCTATCCTGTTTATGAAAGAAATCGATATGGTTTCTAGTTCTTAATGATTCCAGAAAAATAACTTATAAATCCATGTTTCATGATCATGTTCTAGTTTTATCCCCTGCAGTCAAAGCCATGGTCCCCAGATAAAAATTACTGTTGTAAAATAATCAGCATGTTGGTAGAAGGTAAAAAGAATTTTAGGGTGGAAAACCATTTGGTTCAAAATAACCTATAGATAAATACCATTTTATGAGTGTAGAATAATGAACAGTAATTAACATTGCCGTACTCTAGGCATTGTCCTAAATGCACTGTGTGCGTCACCTCATTTAATTTTCACAACAACCCTATGAATGAGGTACTGTTTACTTTAGATTCCTCTTTTGGAAAATAGGCTTGCCATGGTTATGAAATCAGGAAATAATGGAATCAGAAGTTGAATCCAGGTTTGTCTGACTCCAAAGAAAGGATTTTAACCAGAACTCAGTAGTATAAATTCCAGAAAGGTTTCCAGCCTTATTTAGCACTGCCTTGATTTTTGGATATAAGAAGAGATAAAGGAAATGGTGTTAAAGGGAGTTGAAATGTATAGGTGAATTTTTGCAATGGCGTATTTTTTTTTTTAATTAATTTATTTTATTTTTGGCTGCATTGGGTCTTCATTGCTGCACCGTGGGCTTTCTCTAGTTGCGGTGAGCAAGAGCTACTCTTCACTGTGGTGTGCGGGCTTCTCACTGCAGTGGCTTCTCTTGTTGCAGAGCACAGGCTCTAGGTGCACAGGCTTCAGTAGTTGTGGCTCATGGGTTATAGAGCACAAGCTCAGTAGTTGTGGTGCATGGGCTTAGTTGCTTTGCAGCATGTGGGATCTTCCCAGACCAGAGCTCGAACTCGTGTCCCCTCCATTGGCAGGCGGATTCTTAACCACCGTGCCACCAGGGAAGCCCACAGTGGCCTTTTCATATATCATTGATGAACCAAGAAATTACTCTTTCCTGACAATTTTTTTTTTCTGTGATGGTTTTTATAAAGCTAGCCACTGGTTCTGATTTTGCGTAATACATTCTAGCTGGTTTTCTGAACACTACAGCATTTGAAAAAACTACTGTCAACTTTTCTGTTGTGTTGCCAGTACGTTTTTAAATCAGATATACTCTGAGAGATGGGTACAAAGCTTTTTGTTATTATCCCAAAGTTTCTGGTCTCATTTTGCTCTTTAGTGTATAATCTCAATTCTGACCCATTTATATGTGGATTTTAAAGTCTTAGAATATTGCCCTTGAGCTTCCCTGGTGGCACAGCGGTTAAGAATCCGCCTGCCAATGCAGGGGACACGGGTTCGAGCCCTGGTCCATGAAAATCCCACATGCCGCAGAGCAACTAAACCCATGCACCACAACTACTGAGTCTGCGCTCTAGAACCTGCAAGCCACAACTATTGAAGCCTGCACTCTGCAACAAGAGAAGCCACTGCAACAAGAATCCCGTGCACCGCAACAAAGAGTAGCTCCTGCTGGCCGCAACTAGAGAAAGCCCACGCACAGCAATGAAGACCCAACGCAGCCAAAAATAAATAAGTAAGTAAGTAAGTAAGTAAATAAATAAATAAATAAAAAGAGTACTGCACCTATGCTTGATCTTCTAATTTCTGATACTTGTTTTGCAAGTTCCAGCAATTCCTGATGAGAAACCTCATTCTAAGTTGGCTTCTCCATTCACATTAATAGTCAGCATTTATCAAATGTTTCCTCTATACAAATATTGTGACTTTGCCTTTGCCTACAGTTCAGTCAAACAGAAAAACTTTAGACTGAGCTTCAAGACAGATAGTTTTAATCATCATAGTGTAAGTGAAATCAAATGGTTTAGAAATATAAAGGGGGGAGAAATTAATTCCAACTGAAAGGATCTGGCTCATTTATCTTTGATTTCAGGGAAAAGAGACAATTTTCCTTGGTTTTTTAAAAAATCTTTTTTTTTTAATACTTTGAATCTTTAAACACTTTACTTTTTTTCTTCTTCCTTTTTTTTTTTTCTTTTTTTTTTTCTTGGCCACATTGCGCAGCTTGTGGGATCTTAGTTCTCTGACCAGGTATTGAACCTGGACCCCAGCAGTGAAAGCTCTGGGTCCTAACCACTGGACAGGCAGAGAATTCCCTAAACTCTTTACTTTTAAAGTAGTTTATAGGGACTTCCCTGGCGGTCCAGTGGTTAAGACTCTGCGCTTCCACTGCAGAAGGCACTTGTTCGATTCCTGGTCGGGGAACCGAGATCCCACATGCTGCATGGTGTGGCCCAAAAACATAAAAAAAAAAAATTACAGTAGTTTATAATTGATAGAACTTTGTTCTGTTTAGTTCCATGTGCTGATTGCTCATGTATTTATATTCTAAGTTTGTCGGCTTTCCACTGCATGGTAAAACATATTTTATTTAGGGAAGGAAAAAGCAATTTAAAACAGATTTGTCAACCTGTGAGTAAATCAGTATTGTGTGTGTGTGTTGTGGTTAAAAAAAAAAAAAAGAATTTCAGATAGCACAGAATCCAAAATAAAGGTCTCTCTTGCCATGACTTCTTTCATACCGCTTGCTATCTAGAAGTGTAACCACTGTTATCAATTGTAATTTAACTGTATTTATCACTAATGCCTGACTTTTTTTAATGAATCATTCTTTTCTGCATATAAAGACTATTTACTTAGAACCTCCCTAGTGCAGTCATTTCATTTGAGATGCAGTTTGTTTTTTGTATACATATAAATTGACTTATTATGTGCTTTTCTTTTTCTTTAGGATCCCAAACTTCTGAACAGGAGCTCTTTCTAGACACCAAGATATTTGAAAAAGGTTTGTAATTGTAAATGTATTTTGAATCTTAGAAATATTATCCTCTGTTAGTGATACAAACCCATAAAGTATTAGCATCCTTGGATTTAATATTTGCAATTTTAGCTGTTTGTAGGGGGCATCAGACATCTATGATTTTGTGCTAATTTGTAAAGAGACTAATAAAAGCTACCTCAGTTATTGGTTTTAAGGATTAATTGAAATAATGCTCTGAAGTGTGTACCAAGAATATAAATCTAGTTCTGTGATATTGGTGAACAAGTTACTTCATTCTTGAGTGTACCTGTGGAATTGTCCAGCAACCATACCTGACTTTTTGGTATTTAGGGTTTCAGAGAGGTTTCTGAGTATGTCAAGTGTATTATCTCATTTTGAGGGCTTGTTTGTTTTTCTGTATATTTCAGACCAAGGAAGTACTTACAGTGGTGACCTTGAATCAGAGGCAGTATCTACTCCACATAGCTGGGAGGAAGAATTAAATCATTATGCCTTAAAGTCAAATACTGTGCAAGAGGCTGATTTAGAAGTGAAGCAGTTCTCAAAAGGGGAAACTGAACAGGATCTGGAAGCAGATTTTCCATCAGGTTTGTGCAGTGTAACCTGTCTGTTCAAAGTCCTTTATTAGAAGATTCGTACAACTCTGAATTGGCATAATGAAGCAGTTATAATGTATGATAACTACCTAGGGCACAAAATGGTCCCTGCCTTTGAAGGTATTAATTCATACCATATTGTTCTTTATAAGGGGTTAATTTGTTTTTGTTGTTGTTGTTTTTAAGTTTCCCGCAGTAATCATATAGGGGGTTTTCTTGATTGTTAATAAAGTTTTGGGGGTTTTTTTGCGGTACACGGGCCTCTCACTGTTGTGGCCTCTCCTGTTGCGGAGCACAGGCTCCGGACGCGCAGGCTCAGCGGCCATGGCTCACGGGCCCAGCCGCTCCGCGGCATGTGGGATCTTCCCGGCCCGGGGCACGAACCCGTGTCCCCTGCATTGGCAGGCGGACTCTCAACCACTGCGCCAACAGGGAAGCCCCCCACCTTTTTTTTTTGGCGAGATAATAAAGTTTTTATACATGCTGTATCTCCTTGTTTTCTTATGTATATAAGTAAAGTCCATGTTTTATCATAAACAAAATAATGAATATAGTGATGATTACCTGATATTTCCTCCTTCACCCTAAGTGTTTATTTAAGTCTGTGAGTGATTTATCTCACATTATGCTTTCTCTTGGATATCATAGAATCCTTTGACCCACTGAATAAAGGACAGGGAATCCAGGCACGTTCCCGAACAAGAAGACGACACAGAGATGGCTTCCCCCAGCCCAGACGAAGAGTAAGCAGTAACTTAATTTTTCTAGCATTTTCTTTTCTTTGTTGTTTTCCAACCTTGTATTTTTGTCCTTTTGTTTTTGTTTTTTTGAAGTCAAAAACCATATCTTTTATTTTATATTTCCTCAGGAGGGACTTTTTATTTTGTTTATATAATCAAAGGATTTTTCTGTTAGTTTTTTATAATCGTTGTTACACACTTTCCTCTTTTTTTTTTTTTTGCGGTACACGGGCCTCTCACTGTTTTGGCCTCTCCCATTGCGGAGCACAGGCTCCAGACGCGCAGGCTCAGCGGCCATGGCTCACGGGCCCAGCCGCTCCCCGGAATGTGGGATCTTCCCGGATTAGGGCACGAACCCGTGTCCTCTGCATCATCAGGTGGACCCTCAACCACTGCGCCACCAGGGAAGCCCTGCACACTTTTTTTTTTTTTTTTACTTGGGTTAGTTGTCATCTTATTGAGTTGTGTTTTTTATTATGGATATAATTCTTTTATCAAATATGACTTTTCCTCCTATTTTGTGACTTCATTTTTATTTCCTTAATAGTGAAAAACAACTTTTTCCCTGTTTCCATGGTTCATTTATTTATTTTCTTCCAGTTTTATTGAGATATAATTGACATAACAGGACTAAGTTTAAGGTGTAGAGCATAATGATTTGACTTACATACATCATGAAATGAATACCGCAATAAGATCGTAAACATTCATCGTCTCATATAGATAAAAAATTAAACAAAAAAATTTTTTTTTTTACTATGAGAACTCTTAGGATTTACTCTCTTCACAACTTGTATATATAGCACAGAGCAGTGTTCTTTATATATATCATGTCACACATTATACCCCTAGTACTTACTTAAACTGGAAATTTACGCCTTTTGACTACCTTCATCCAGTCTCCCTCCCCCTACTCCCTGCTTCTGGTAGCCACAAATCTGATCTCTTTTTCTAAGAATTTGTTTGTTTGTTTTTGAAATATAATTGACCTACAATACTTTGTTAGCTCTTGGAGCACAACATACTGATTCAACATTTCTACATATTTCAAAATGTTCACTAGGATAAGTCTAGTTACAATATGTCAACATACAAAGATATTACATAATTATAATTGTGTGATTGTATTCCCCACATTGTACATTTCATAACATAACCATGACTCATTTACTTTGTGACTGGAAGTTTGTACCTCTTAATCTCCCTCACCTATGTCTCTCATCACCCCAACCCCCTCCCCTGTGAGAACCACTTGTTTATTCTCTGTATCTATAATTCTGTTTCTGTTTAATTATGTTTGTTCATTTGATTTTTAGATTCCAGATATAAGTGAAATCATATAGTATTTGTTTATCTCTGTCTGATTTGTTTCACTTACTGTAATACCCTCTAGGTCCATCCCTGCTGTCACAAATGGCAAGATTTCATTCTTGTTTGTGGTTGAGTAAGAATTCCATTGTATGTAACTGTGTGTGTGTGTGTGTGTGTGTGTGTGTACCACATCTTATTCATTCATCTAGGACACTTAGGTTGTTTCCATATCTTGGCTGTTGTCAGTAATGCTGCAGTGGACTTAAGGGTGCGTATATATCTTTTTGAATTAGTGTTTTTGTTTTCTTTGGGTAAAAAATACCCAGAAGTGGAATTGCTGGATCAAATGGTAGTTCTATGTTTAATTTTTGAGGAAGCGCCATACTGTTTTCCACAATGGCTGCACCAATTTACATTCCCACCAACAGTGCATGAGTGTTCCCCCTTTTACACATCGTTGCCAACACTTGATATCTCTTGTCCCTTTCGTTGTAGTCATTCTGACAGGTGTGAGGTGATATTTCATTGTGATTTTGACTCGCATTTCCCTGATGATTAGTGATGTGGAGCATCTTTCCGTGTGTCTGTTGGCAATCTGTATGTCCCTTTTGGGAAAATGGCTCTTCAGATCCTCTGCCCATTTTTTAATTCCATTTTTTGTTTGTTTGTTTGTTTGTTGGATATTGAGTTATTTATACATTTTGGATATTAACCTCTTTCCAGATATATAATTTGGAAATACCCTTTCCCATTCAGTAGGTTGCCTTTACATTTTGTTGAGGGTTTCCTTTGCTATGCAAAATCTTTTTAGTTTGATGTGGTCCCATTTGTTTATTTTTGCTTTGGTTGTCTTTACCTGAGGGAACAGACCCCAAAAATATTACTAAAACCGATGTCAAAGTTTCCTGCCTGTGTTTTCCTCTAGGACTTTCATGGTCTCAGGTCTTACATTTAAGTCTTTAATACATTTTCAGTTTAATTTTGTATATGGTATGAAAAAGTGGTCCAGTTTCATTCTTTTCCATGTAGCTGTCCACTTTTCCCAACGCCATTTACTGAAGAGTCAGTCTTTTCTTCATTGTACAATATAGTCTTACCTCTTTTGGCATAGATTAATTGACCATAAAAGCATAGGTTTATCTGGGCTGTCTATTCTGTTCCATTGATCTGTGTGTATGTTTTTGTGCCACTACCATACTGTGTTGATTACTGTAGTTTTTAGCATAGTTTGAAATCAGGGAGTATGATACCTAGCTTTGTTCTCCTTTCTCAAGATTGTTTTGGCTATTCTGGGTGTTTTATGTTTCCTAATGAATTTTAGAATTATTTGTTCTAGTTCTGTGAAAAATGCCATTGGTAGTTTGATTTTATTGCATTGAATCTGTAGTTTGCCTTGGGTAGTGTGGTTATTTTGACAATATTCTTCTAATTCACAAGAATGGTATATTTTTCCATTTGTTTGTTTAATCTTCAGTTTCCTTCATCAGTGTCTTATAGTTTTCTGAGTCGAGTCTTTTACCTCCTTTGTTAGATTTATTCCTAGGTATTTTATTCTTTTTGATGCGATTATAAACAGGATTGTTTTTAAAATTTCTCTGACAGTTTGTTGTTTATAGAAATGCAACAGATTTTGTATATTTTGTGTCGTGCAACTTTACTGAATTCATTGGTGAGTTCTCATAACTTTTTGGTGGTGTCTTTAGGATTTTCTACGTATAGTATGGTGTTATCTGCAAACAGTGACAGTTTTCTTCATTTCCAATTTGGATTCCTTTTATTTCTTTTTCTTCTCTGATTGCTGTGGCTGGGACTTCCAATACCATGTTGAATAAAAGTGGCAGAATGGGCATCCTTGTCTTATTCCTGATCTTAGAGGAAATTGTTTCAGTTTTTCATCATTCAATATGATGTTAGCTGTGGGTCTGTTATATATGACCTTTATTACATTGGGGTATGTTCCCGCTGTAGCCATTTTGTGGAGAATTTTTATCGTAAATGAATGTTGAATTTTGTCAAAGACTTTTTTTGCTTCTGTTGAGATGATCATATGACTTTTATTCTTCAGTTTGTTAATGTGGTGTATCCCATTGGTTTGCAAATACCAAATTGTTCTTTGCATCCCTGGAATAAATCCCACTTGCTCATGGTGTGTGATCCTTGTAATGTATTGTTGAATTTGGTATGTTGATATTTTGTTGAGGATTTTTGTGTGTATGTTCATCAGTGATATTGGCCTGTAATTGTCTTCTTTTATGGTCGTCTGCTTTTGGTATCAGGGTGATACTGGCCTCATAGAATGAATTCGTAAGTGTTGCTTCCTCTGCTATTTTTTGTAATAGTTTGAGAAGGATAGGTATTAACTCTTCTCTAAATGTTTGGTCAACTTCATCTGTGAAGCTGTCTGGTCCTAGACTTTTGTTTGTTGGGAGTTTTATGATTACTGATTCAATTTCATTACTAGTAATTGGTCTGTTCATATTTTCTATGTATTTCTGGGTCAGTCTTAGGAGAGTGTACATTTCTAAAATTTTTCCATTTCTTCCAGGTGGTTCTTTTGGTGTATAATTGTTCATAGTAGTCTCTTAAGATCCTTTATATTTCTGTGTTGTTTGTTGTAACTTCTCTCTCCCATTTTTTAAAAAAAATTTATTTGTACCTTTCTTTTTTCCTTGATGAGTCCGGCTGAAGGTTTATCCACTTTGCTTATCTTTTAAAAAGATCAGCTCTTGGTTTCATTGATCTTTTCTATTGCTTTTTAGTCTCTATTTTTGCTCTGATCTTTATGATTTCTTTCCTTTACCAACTTTCGGTTTTCTTTTTCTTTTTCTAGTTCCCTTAGGGTATAAGGTTAGGTTGTTTATTTGAGATTTTTCTTGTTTCCTTAAGTAGGCTTGTCACTATAAACTTACCTCTTAGAACTGCTTTTGCTGTATCCCATAGATTTTGGATTCATTTTCATTGGTCTCCAGGTATATCTTGATTTCCTCTTTAATTTCTTTGGTGACCCATTGGTTGTTTAATAACATATTGTTTAGTCTTCTGTGCTGTGTGTTTTTTACAGTTTTTTTGTGTATTTGGTTTCTAGTCTCATAGCATTGTGGTTGGAAAAGATGCTTGATATGATTTTACTTTTCTTAAATTTACTGAGACTTGTTTTGTGGCCTAGCAAGTGATCTAGAGAATGTTCCATGTGAACTTGAAAAGAATGTGTGTTCTGCTGCTTTTGGGTGAAATATTACATATATATATATATATATATATATATACACACACACACACAAACATGTGTGTGTGTGTGTGTTTATTCTGTATATAGCTATTAAATCCATCTCTTGTAATGTGTCATTTATGGCCAGTGTTTCCTTACTTATTTTCCTTATTTATCTCTGTCCATTGATGTAAGCAAGGTTTTAAAGTCTCCTACTCTTGTTGTGTTACTGTCCATTTCTCCCTTTATATCTGTCAATGTTTGCTTTATGTATTTAGGTGCACCTTTCCTATCCTCTCATATTCAGTCTTTGTGTGCCTTTAGATTTGATGTGAGTCTCTTTTAGGCAGCACTGTGGGTCTTGTTTTTGTATCCATTTAGCTACCCTATGTCTTTTTATTGGAGCATTTAGTCCATTTACACGTAAAGTAATTATTGATAGGTATGTACTTATTGCCATTTTGTTAATTGCTTTGTGGTTGTT